CTCTATTTTATTGTGTGCATTTTTTCTCTTGCTTTTTCTCAGACAGCGGCTACAAAATGAGTAGCTTAAAACCTTTTTTGCTCTTCTAGAAATCCCTTGAACGTTGCCCAGTTTCATTGTCACTAGGGATGTGCATGGGGAAAATTTTTGGTTCGGTTCGGCATTCCAAAATTCGGGACTTCGGCAATTCGGAACTTTGGAACTTCGGCACTTTGGTTCGGTTCGACACTTCAGAACTTCGACACTTCGGAACTTCGGCATTTCGGAATTTCAGGACTTTGGCACTTCGGGACTTCTCTTGCAGCCGCTTAGTAGATAACTCCCTAATTCCCACGGTATTAGGGAGTTATCTACCAAAAGGCTGAAAGACCTTAATTGGTCTTTCAGCCAAATTTACTAATACTAAGTAAAACTTACTTAGTATTAGTAAATTCTGCCCCTACTCACTATACCGCAAGTAGGGGAATGTCTATTAAACAGTGAGCAGCCTGAGTCCCTGGCCACCTACAGTCCAGCCCCTTCTGTATGTGTAGCTAAGGCAGAGATTACACACTTCCTTGTTGTAATACCCATTCATATTGTCAGTTGGAGCTCTGACAGGCTGAAAACAGTCACCTGACAATCTCAGCCAATCACAGCTGTCCATTGCTGCTCAGGCTAATACTTCCTTTTTAGCCAAAGCTGCACAGATGGGATGGACTGCCGGGGACTCTTGTTTAGCATTAAAACATAACCCCCCCCCTTGAGCCCCCACCCATGATGTGCGAGTGGGGGCTTTTAAACTAAAGGGGGGACCTACAGCCCCCCCCAGCCCCCACCCCTGAGCGGTGGGTGGGGGCCCTAAAGTAAAATAAGGGGGGGACCTATTGTCCTCCTGAGCGGTTGGTGGGGGCCTCAAATTACTTGAAAGGGGGGATCTATTTTCCTCCCCCCCCCAGCCCCCACCCCTGAGCGGTGAGTGGGGGCCCGAAAATACTTCAAATGGGGGGACCTATTGTCCTCCCCCTCGGCCCCCACCCCTGAGTGGCGGCATGATATACCTAGTTTATGCATTTACTGCTCGTTGGCATGATATATTCAGTTTATGTATGTATTGCTAATTGACATGGTATACATATTTTTTTTTATTTACTGCTCATTGGCATGATATACCAAGTTTATGTATTTATTGCTTTATTGACATGATATACTAAGTTTACGCATTTAATGTTCATTGGCATGCTATATCAAGTTTACAAGTTTATGCCTTTAATGTTCATTGCCATGATAAATCCTATATCTGTCTATCTATCTATTGTACCAACGGGTATATATGAGTGACTGCGTCGATGTGCTTGTGTATGAGCATGCATGACTGTGGCGGGGGGAGGGATTGTCTTAATAATTTAAATGATTCTGTCAATATGCAGGGATATATCCCTATATTGCTGAAAACAAGCAGTAGATGTCAGCAACATAAGGCTCTATAGTGGTTTAACAAGGAAACCAATTTAATGTTATTAGTACTATTATTAGCAGAAGGAATTTCATTAGAATTAAGGTAAGGGTAGTGTTAGGGTTATGGCAGGGTAAGCGTAGGGATATAGTTAGGTTATGTTTAGTTTTAGAATTAGGGTTTATGTAGGGTTAGTGTTAGGTGAGGCTGCTAGTGCTGTTAGAATTAATGCTTATTTAGGGTTAGGGATGGTGTAGGGTTAAAGGGACACTGTAGTCACTATAACCATTTCATCTCTTTGAATTGGTTATAGTGCCTGGAGTGCCCTGGCACTGTCCCTCCACTCAGTGTTGCACCATGTTCGTGCAGTATGCCACAACATAAGAGTCCCTGGCCACCTACAGTCCGGCCACTTCTGTATGTGTAGCTAAGGCAGAGATTACACACTTCCTTGTTGTCATACCCATTCATACCGTCAGTTGGAGCTCTGACAAGCTGAAAGCAGTCACCTGACAATCTCAGCCAATCACAGCTGTACATTGCTGCTCAGGCTAATACTTCCTTTTTAGCTAAAGCTGCACAGATGGGATGGATTCCCGGGGACTCTTGTTTAGCATTAAATCATAAGAAAACTGTTTAATGCTGAAAGAAATTATGGTACTAGGGGACTCCAGACACTATAACCAGTTTAATGAGATGAAGCAGATACAGTGCTTACGGTGTCCCTTTAAGCATGTATACAGTGTAAGCACAAGGGTGGGGTTGGTATACAGTAAGCATTATCACCAATATTTTACTTTGATCCTAGGCATATGAAGCAGTTAACAATCAGGACTGATATGTGAATCTATTTTTAGCTCTTTTTACTTAGTTGCACTGGATGTGTAAACATTATTAAAAGCAAAATGTGTTTTTCCCCCAATTTTAACATTTTATTCACACTTAATGTTGTTTTAGGTATACATGTAGCATATTAAAAGAAAGTCATTTCTGTCCTTTAAAATATATACTGTGTATACGGGCATTTAAAGACTAACCCTTAAATTACAGTTGTACAAACATGCGCAAATTCTGGGTTATGTTTCAGAGCTTGGACAATTCCTTCAGTTCTGAGGGGGACAAAGTACTCAAAATCTCTAGCACGATTTTTATGTATTTCATAGTTTTTAACCTTTTGTTTTGTATAGCCAGTTCTGTACACTGCATGAGTTTTGCAAAAAAAAAAAAATCTAGAAAACAACAATATTTTTTTCCCGAATTTTGCATGTTAAACATTTATCTTGTACTGAGTAATATGCATTTTTCCTATATTGTCCTTGATTTACTATTGGGTGTAGAGACCAACATAACTATATTCATATTTATGGAGGCTATTCTACTCACGGGTTATCCAGCGGGTATAGCTAGAAGTGGCAGGTTACAATTGCAAACCGTGATCCATTCGTTGTTTGAAACCATAATGCCACCAGACAATTTAAAATAAAAACATATCTGGAGTCAGTGAAACATTAGCATTTAACAAGAGGGGATCATTCGGCTCTGTCAAATTTTCTTTTACAAATAAAGTGTAAAAAGCATGGAGAAACAACATACAATGTTTGGCTGTAATGATGTGCCTGTTGCAAACTTTGTGTGTGGGGGGAGTGGGTGTCTTTATGTTTCCATTTTCTGTTTTTTTCATTGCTGTCTTAGTTTTTAGTTTGAGGGACATCTCAGTGGCACTCATATATACTGGCCGTTTTTGTGGATTGTGTTTTTGTAAAACATGTTTCAATCACGGTGTATGTTTTTGAGAGTGCTATTTCTGAAGAGTTGGGTCTTTAGCACTAATGTTATACTGATGCCGTGTGACTGTATTGCTATTGGTGTCTTTAGCACTAATGTTCCACTGCCCCCATGTGGGTGTATCGCTATTGGTGTCTTTGTCACTAACGTTACACTGCCCCTGTGTGACTTTATTGCTATTGGTGTCTTTAGCACTAACGTTACCCTGCCTCTGTATGACTGTCTTGCTATTGGTTTATCTGGCAGTAATGTTACACTGCTGCCGTGTGGCTTTATCGCTATTGGTGTCTTTAGCAATAATGTTACACTGCCCCCATGTGGCTTTATTGCTATTGGTGTCTTTAGCACTAATGTTACACTGCCCCTGTGTGGCTTTATCGCTATTGGTGTCTTTAGCAGTAATGTTATACTACCCCCGTATGGCTTTATTGCTGTAATGCTCATTGGAATGTGATTCACTCAGGCCATTGCTTTATTGCTGCAGGACTTCCTCTTCTTCATGTTACTCTGCCCATTGTTGTAGGCATTATGGCACATTTGCTACTCTTGTCTCTTGCAGATTAATGTGTGTTTTATTGCTTTAGGAAGAGGGGTAGATAAGTGAGTCCTAAGGAGACATAATTCCAAAGATTATGATTAGAGTAAGGAGAGTAAGTCTTTGAGCGGTGGAGGTTTTCATACAAGTATTAAAAGGGGAGGTAAAAGAGACTGAGAGCATGGATTAGACAGGGGCTGGTGACCTAGGACCTAGCGAATAGCCAGGAGCCCAGACTACATTTAGGTACTGGACATGTTAGGCCTCATTTACCAGCACCTGTACTAAGAGTGAAGGAAGCCCCAAATTGGTCGTTTGCATAGGGCCCTGTACAATTCTAATTCTTCTCCATTTGAAAGCTAGGAAAATGATGAGGGATGGGTTGAGAAAGATTTTGGAAGTTGTCTGTCCAGGTGTTGATTCCACTGGCTAGTATCCCTATGTTACTCTTCTTTGTCTTTCATGCACAATATTAAAGTATTTTGCCCATTGTCGGCCCTAAGTATACCTGATGGATGTGACACACTCTTTCATACAGCACAATTAAGGGAGGGTGCAGATTACTACAAATATAGCCATCCTACATTCCTCACATCTGGCTTGATTAAACAACTGTATATATAGATAGAGAGAGAGAGAGTATTTATAATATTGTCACTTTTGAATTTTGTGTTACCATACACTTTGGTTATTTTGAAATTGGAATTTGTATAGGCTTATAATGGCACAATATAGAGGTTTATATTACAACAATTGGAGTGTGGAATGACCAGGGAAAGTTGTCGATGGGATCAGGTAGTTTATTGTGTATTGATTACTACCAATACTAGTGTTAACATTTGCATACAAGGTAGCAACAAATCAAATGTACTTTTCAGGTATTGATATATAGTTATAGAATGTTTACAGCTTTTAAAGAGAGACAGGCTAGTGGGTAATTAAATTAACGAGTGACAGTAGGAAGTAATTGGGGTAAGAAAGGACAACATCAGTAATGGGAAAGACACAAAGTGGTGAGGGGTAAGGAGACACAAGAAGGTCAGGGGGGTCAGCTAATGACCCACAAAATATGAGCAAGACACAGAGTAGCAACTTTTTTTTTTTAATACTTTACTTTTTCATCTTGACAAAAGTAACATGAAAAACATAAGCGATAAGGCTTGCGCAGAAGCCCGTTGGTCCACATTATAATTGAACATATTTATATAGGTGTCACTACGGAGCAAATCCAATAATCTTAGTGATAGGCTTGTTTGGCTACTTGTCAAGGGATTTTTCTATTTTTCTTTTTTTTAATAAAATAACATAACATCAAAAAACATTAATATACTTCTTAAATAAGTATCCCGCCATACCTATTAGCACACATTCAATGATGCAATACGGGTGTCTTTTGAAGTGGGATTCCGTTAACCCTATGTGTTCCTTATAATTTGCCTCCCCGTGTACGGGGACAGTTTCTGACGTCCGTTGGCAGTTTCGCTTTTTGGCTGATTCCATTTAGCTCGCTCTACATTGGAAGTTGGTGTACAATGTTAGGTATACCTCTTTTATATTAGAAATGACCCACTGAATCTGTAGTAGTGTGGTTTGGAGCCATGTCTGTGCTATTGTTCTTCTTGCGGCTAATGTAATCTTATGGATCAATTTCTGTTCCCTCCTTGTCCAGTCGTCTAGAGATCTGTTAAGTAGGTATGTCCAAGGATTTAGTTGTGGCGCCCTATGAAAGATTCTTTTTATCAGGTTATGTATTTTAACCCAAAAGGATTGTGCTTGGGAACATTCCCACCACATATGAATGAATGTACCTTTGAGACTGCATCCTCTCCAACAGGTGTCCCAAGGTGTTTGTTTCATATGCAGAGACTAGGAACTCTTGGCCGCCTATCATTATCCCCTTAATATGTTGATTTTGGTGTAACGCTTGTAGAAGGGGTTCAAGGGTAAGCACAAACAGGAGAGGGGACAGGGGGCATCCCTGTCGCGTTCTGTTCCCCAGTCTAAAGGGTTTGGATCCTGTTCCTGCTATTTTGACTTGGGCAGAAGCTTGGCTATACATTGCTTTGATTGATGCTATGTATCTTTCTGGGAAGCCAAGGTAGTCCAGGAGGCTAAATAAATAGGGCCATTCTACCCTATCAAAGGCCTTCTCTGCATCAATGGAGACCAATAGAGTCAGTGTGCGTACGGTTTTCTGTCTCCAGATAAGGTCGATGTTCTGTCTGGTGTTTTCAAAAAGTTGTCTATCTGTTATAAATCCTACTTGGTCTGGGTGTATCAACTTCTTCAGGTAAGGGTTGAGATGATCCCCTAAGATTTTTGCTAGGATTTTGATGTCTTGGTTGATCAGAGAGACAGGTCTGTAGTTGTCTGGTGACAAGGGGTCCCTGCCTGATTTATGCAGAAGTATTATGTTGGCCATGGACATCTCACCCCCCATGGTTCCGTTATCCATAAGGTGGTTAATGTCACAATTCGGGAACCCAACACGCTGGCACACACACACACACACACACAGAAAAGGTGCCGTACCGGACCTTAGAGTGGCCGGGCTAAGCACACACAGAATAGTCAGGAGACAAGCCGAGTAAGGGGAACCAGAAGACAGAATAACGTGAAACAAGCCGAGGTCAAAGGGTAGGAGAAAGTCACAGCGTCAGATAAACAAGCCAGAGAGTACGTAACCAGAACCACAAGGTAAGTAGCAATACTAGTAAGCAAAGACCACAACAGGGCAGGGAGGAACAGGAAAGGTAAGTATTTAAACCATAAGGTTAATTCTGATTGGATAATTTCCAATCAGAATTAACAATCACACGTGGGAGATATCTAAACCTCCCACTGTGATTGAGGCACTGTGCCTTTAACGCCGGGTCAGGTAACTGACCCTGGCATGTAATAATTTGGGTGGTCTCCCAGCATGCAGCGTCATGCATGCTTCCGCTGGAGGACGTGGAGGAAAACGCGGACTGCATCCGAGGCTGGAAGGATGCCGCTCGCCGAGCCCACGAGGAGGAGGGGACCGCGGATGGCTTCAGGGTGAGTACCGCGAGCGGAGTGCAGCCTCCCCTCGCAGCCACCCGCGGGATCCCGACAGTTAACTAGTGTTTCCAACTTTGGTGATAGGTCCTCCTTAAATGTTTTGTAGTACGATCCATCGAAGCCCTTCAATCCCGTTATCGCCCTGTCAACTTCCTCGATTGTAATGGGCTCATTTAGAAGTGATGCAGCTGCTGTAGAAAGTTTCGGCAATTTGAGGTCTTTCAAAAATGTATGCATGCCTACCTTTGCAGCCTCTTGTGTCATTGAGTCCCTGGGGATATGATTATACAATTTTTCATAGTAGCTTGTGAAGACTTCGGCAATATCGGTTGGGTTTGTTTTAATAGATCCGTCCGCATGTTTGATCGTGGTGATGGGGGTCCGAGTCTGTCTGGGGCATAGGGTTCTGGCCAGCATAGTGTCCATTTTATTCGATTTCTCATAGTAGGACCGTTTCGTCCAGGCAATAGCCCTGGCTGTGTCATCCAGTAAAAGTTCGGATATGGACCTCCTTGCCTGCCTCAGTTGTTCTAGGAGTTGCGGAGTAGGTGTAGCCTTGTGTTTTTGTTCGATTTGTCTCAACGTTTCTAAACGATGTTTTAGTGTCTTCAACTTTTGCGCTTTTTTCCTCGTGGCTAGTTTGATGCATGTTCCTCTGATCACCGTTTTATGGGCTGCCCAGACGGAGCTTGGAGTCACGTCTTCCGTTTCATTCATGATAAAGTACTCTCTAATGTCTTGTCTTATTTCAGCCTGGATGGCCTTGTCATTCAGCAGGCCTGAGCTCAATCTCCAGTTCCATGGGGATGCTGTACAAAGGTTCCCTAAAGTTAAAGAGATATCCGCATGGTCCGACCATGTTATAGATCCTATCTTGGACTCCACTGCCCTGACCATGCTAGCGTTGTTTAACAGAAAGCAGTCTATCCTGGAAAAGGTCCCATGAGGGGCGGAGTAAAACGTAAAGTCCCGGACGCTAGGGTGGTGCGTACTCCAGACATCCATCAAAGCCGTTTCTTTGATAAAGTCATGGAGCATTTTATCTTGGCTCCCTCTACCATGTGATCTCGGCTGCCCCTCTTTAGAGGTTCTGTCCGCGGCTGGACACGGTACAGCATTGAGGTCTCCCCCCATCACCACTATACCATGAGAGAGGGCCTTTATCTTCAAGGCTTAGTTTTCCCAAGAGGTGGCTACGGGCGCATTGGGGGCATATACGTTTATCAAATAAATCTGGTGGGAGTAAAGGGTTCCTGACAGGATAACGTATCTCCTATCATCATCTAGTTCTGATGATTGGATATGAATCGGGCATTGGTGGTGTATAAGTATGGCCACTCCGTTACCCTTACGATGTGATCTAGCTTCGTATGAGGTGGGGAAGGTGCAGTCTCTCGGTTGAAATGTTGTGTGTTTAGATATGCGTGTCTCTTGTAGGAAAGCTATTTCTGAGCCTAGTCTCTTAATTTCTCTGGACATTAGGCGCCTCTTTTTTGGGGGGTTCAGCCCCTTGACATTTAAAGATGTCATTTTTAAAGACATCTTTTCAGTAGGGTCAAGTGCTTACCCTGGTCTGGGATCTTTTCCCTTGTCACTTCCCTGAGATGCCCGGGGGACCTCTGTGTAAGTTCACTGTCTCTTGGTTGGCCTGTCGCATAAGAGGGGTGGGGTAAGGGGTTGAAGTAGGAGTAGAAATAGAATAGAAGAATTAAGTTTTGACTGGACTTACAAGTCGCCAGTCCAGTGTGGGGTGCGGTGCCCAGATCCATTCTCCCAAAGTAATGAGGAATGTGACGGTTGGGTACCTGTACTGCGGGGGTGAGGTAACATACAGCTAAGTTGTGCAGTGTACCGGATGTTCGCGGTGTATTGAGGAGATTAATGTGGCCAGCAGTGCGGGAGGGCTTCTCCACGATTTTCTCCAGAAAAACAGGGGGTGGCACCGAGAAAACATTAGGGAGAACCTATAGAAGCTATAAGAACTAGTGTGGCCTGCTTTCAGCCCACCAGGAGTTCTGTGTAAACTTTAAACATATTTACAGTGAATAATATATCCTTCATGGGGGTACAGTGAGGAGTCCATAGGCCTCTAGGTTATTTTATTTATTTATGTAAATTTTTTTTGGGGGGGGGATAAAAACCTTCCCTGGCTTTTGTGTTCAATCGTATTGACTGTATACCCTTTCTCTGATCTCCGTCTTACCATCCCCGAGGTTGATCGATCAGGTTTCGTTGGCCCTGTTTCCCTGCTTAAGGTGGGGATATGCCTATGCGCCCAAGGCGTCGTCTTATTGGCTTGTAATGTACCCCCACATGCTAAAGAGGAGGTGTGATTTATATCCAGTCTCCAGACTTTGGGCTCCTTTGCCTCCGGGAAGTCCTGCCTGTCACAGTGCTACAGGATAACTGCCTAGCGTGATCACCGGATTTGTTGGTTATCTTTCTCAGGCCAAGGCGGTCCAACTCCTGTATGGAGAGGGTACCGTCTTAGGAGGTGTACCCGCTATGTACCATAGGGTTAATGTGTGTTTGGCTGACTGGTCAGAATATACAAGGTTTAACACAATTATAACTTTTAGAGAACATTTTGAGAGGGCACCAAGGAAGGGCATCAGGCTTGGGTGGGCAATCACTGACGTACACATAGTTATAGAGAGATAAAACATAATGAAGTGCCCAATCCCGTGTGTCCTCTCTAGGGGTAGTAGTCTCAGAGTAATTGGCACTCTATTCCCTTCCAAGATTCTGTGATATGTCAGTGGTCGAGGGGTCACCTTAAAGTGGTAGATGGTAAGCTTATTATTTAAACTGTGTCACGATGGCAATATATAGCATATATTATTATTTTTTATTTTTTTAAATACTACCCAACCGTAAATCTGAACCTCAACCCCATCGTAACTCCTGTTGCTTCCTGGGCCTTATCATATGTCCTTGAATAGTCCAGTGCTCGTTTTTTTTTTTTTTTTCCCTTTCTCCAGGTCAGTGCCTTGATACGAGATTGGGCCTTCTCTTCCCCTTTGAAGGAGAGCTTCTTTCGTCCGGAAATGTAGAAATCTAATGATGATTATTCGCATCCAACATCTGGTACGAAGTGCTCGTGAGCCTATGTGCCACATATGTTCTGGCAGGCCCGGCAACAATGGTTTAAGGATTGCTGTGACCACTTCAGCCACTGGGCCTTCCCCTGATTTCTCGAGCAGGCCTCTAAGGCGCAGATTGCTACGGCGTGATCTATTGGCCATGTCCTCAATGGCCAGTTATGCTGCTGCCATTCTAGCTGATAGGTGGTTTATTTGGTGGATCGCCCTATTGTGCGCTGTTGTGGTAGTCTCCAGTATGGCCTCAATTCTTGTTGTGCGGTCGCCGATGGCTTGAATTTTGTCCCGTAGGACCCGCGTGCAGCGTTCGATTTCTCCGGCTAGGTAAGTCTTCACGCCCGTTAAGGTGTTAAGGATTTGCGCCGTATCTGATGTTACTGGCGGGGTATTCCCTGTAGCCATTTGGGCCTGGTTGTCTGCGGTGTCCGCTTCGGTCTCTTTGCCATTTTGGGAGCCCATGGGCCCGCCACGTGGGGCTGCGAAGTATTCGGCCACCGAGGCCCCTGTTTCCGAGCCTTTATTTTGTTGTTTTTTGATCGGTCTCTTCTCCATATCTCCAGACCTCTGTGGGGCACTTCTTTATTGGGTTTTGCACGTTGTTTTTTGCTTTCTACCAGAGTAGCAAATAAACAATTCCACCCTGAGTGCCAAATACGGACACTACTCACTTAACGACCGGGTTCCGTTCCTATGACCCGGTCGTAGAACGAATTGGTCGTTAAGTGAGGAGTTAAGGGATTCCCTGCTCTGGTGCGCTTGTCTTTGTTCGGGGAAATTTCGAACGCACCAGAGCAGGGAATCCCTGTAATCTATGTTCAGGCAAATTTCCCGAATATAGATATAAGGGGTTCCCTGCTCTGGTGCGCATGTCTATGTTCGGGGGAAAAGAACAGGGAATCCCTTTAATTCCTACAATGGCTCGCACTTACCACCCCATGAGAGAGCTGGTCGTAAGTACATAAAAACGAGGACCAACTGTACTCTAGTTATACTGTTGTACATTTTTTTTTATCACAAATGCCTAGTTCAAGCAACACAGAAACTATTATGTTTGTCAGTGGTGATGGTGTAACACATCCAGGCATAGGCGTGCGCAGCCTATTGCATTAGGGTGTGCACCCTAAAGCACAAGCACATGCCGCATTTATATATATAAATTATATATATATAATGTGTATGGATGTATGTATGTATGTATGTACAGGGAGTGCAGAATTATTAGGCAAGTTGTATTTTTGAGGATTAATTTTATTATTGAACAAAAACCATGTTCTCAATGAACCCAAAAAACTCATTAATATCAAAGCTGAATATTTTTGGAAGTAGTTTTTAGTTTGTTTTTAGTTTTAGCTATGTTAGGGGGATATCTGTGTGTGCAGGTGACTATTACTGTGCATAATTATTAGGCAACTTAACAAAAACAAATATATACCCATTTCAATTATTTATTATTACCAGTGAAACCAATATAACATCTCAACATTCACAAATATACATTTCTGACATTCAAAAACAAAACAAAAACAAATCAGTGACCAATATAGCCACCTTTCTTTGCAAGGACACTCAAAAGCCTGCCATCCATGGATTCTGTCAGTGTTTTGATCTGTTCACCATCAACATTGCGTGCAGCAGCAACCACAGCCTCCCAGACACTGTTCAGAGAGGTGTACTGTTTTCCCTCCTTGTAAATCTCACATTTGATGATGGACCACAGGTTCTCAATGGGGTTCAGATCAGGTGAACAAGGAGGCCATGTCATTAGATTTTCTTCTTTTATACCCTTTCTTGCCAGCCACGCTGTGGAGTACTTGGACGCGTGTGATGGAGCATTGTCCTGCATGAAAATCATGTTTTTCTTGAAGGATGCAGACTTCTTCCTGTACCACTGCTTGAAGAAGGTGTCTTCCAGGAACTGGCAGTAGGACTGGGAGTTGAGCTTGACTCCATCCTCAACCCGAAAAGGCCCCACAAGCTCATCTTTGATGATACCAGCCCAAACCAGTACTCCACCTCCACCTTGCTGGCGTCTGAGTCGGACTGGAGCTCTCTGCCCTTTACCAATCCAGCCACGGGCCCATCCATCTGGCCCATCAAGACTCACTCTCATTTCATCAGTCCATAAAACCTTAGAAAAATCAGTCTTGAGATATTTCTTGGCCCAGTCTTGACGTTTCAGCTTGTGTGTCTTGTTCAGTGGTGGTCGTCTTTCAGCCTTTCTTACCTTGGCCATGTCTCTGAGTATTGCACACCTTGTGCTTTTGGGCACTCCAGTGATGTTGCAGCTCTGAAATATGGCCAAACTGGTGGCAAGTGGCATCGTGGCAGCTGCACGCTTGACTTTTCTCAGTTCATGGGCAGTTATTTTGCGCCTTGGTTTTTCCACACGCTTCTTGCGACCCTGTTGACTATTTTGAATGAAACGCTTGATTGTTCGATGATCACGCTTCAGAAGCTTTGCAATTTTAAGAGTGCTGCATCCCTCTGCAAGATATCTCACTATTTTTGACTTTTCTGAGCCTGTCAAGTCCTTCTTTGACCCATTTTGCCAAAGGAAAGGAAGTTGCCTAATAATTATGCACACCTGATATAGGGTGTTGATGTCATTAGACCACACCCCTTCTCATTACAGAGATGCACATCACCTAATATGCTTAATTGGTAGTAGGCTTTCGAGCCTATACAGCTTGGAGTAAGACAACATGCATAAAGAGGATGATGTGGTCAAAATACTCATTTGCCTAATAATTCTGCACTCCCTGTATGTATATATATATATATATATATATATTTATATATATATATATATATATATACACACACTGCTGTGTGAGGGTGCTGTTAGTGTGATGTGTGTGTGACGGTGCTGGTAGTGTGCTATGTGGTGAGGGTGTTTGCGTGTGCGTGCTTGTGAGGATGCTGTTAATGTACTGTGTGTGAGGGTGCTGTGTGTGTGTGTGTGTGTGTGCGCTTGGGAGGGTGCTGTTAATGTACTGTTTGTGAGGGTGCTGTTTGTGTGTGAGGGTACTGGTAGTGTGCTGTGTGTGTGTTTGTTAGGGTCCTGTTTGTGTTTGTGAGGGTACTGTTAAGTGTGCTGTGTGTGTGTGAGGGTGCTGTTTGTGTGCTGTGTGTGAGGGTGCTGTGTGTGTTTGTGAGGGTGCTGTATGTGTGTGTGGGTGCTGTATGTGTGCTGTGTATGTCTGTGGGTGCTGTGTATGTCTGTGGGTGCTGTATGTCTGTGGGTGCTGTATGTCTGTGGGTGCTGTATGTGTGTTGATGCTGTATGTGTGTTGGTGCTGTATGTCTGTGGGTGCTGTGTATGTGTGTGGGTGCTGTATGTGTGTGGATGCTGTGTATGGGTGCTGTATGTGTGTGTGTGTGCTGTATGTGTGTGGGTGTTGTGAATGTCTGTGGGTGCTGTGAATGTCTGTGGGTGCTGTGTATGTCTGTGGG